CAAATAATAAAAGACTGGTTCAAACTTAGGAAGATAAGGTTAAATTTCAAGGTAACCACAAAGAAAATCAACAAACTTACTCATAAAAATAAAAAAGAAGAAAAACCTAAAGACTCAATAAACACAAAATATACAATAATGAAAGAAATGAAAAGAAATTTCACAAACAGAAAGAACTCGGCACAAGAAAGTAACAGGAACAAAGAAAACGTCAGCATCACAAAAAAAGTACAACAAAATGACAGCAATAAACTCACACCTGTTGATAATCACACTGAATGTAAATGGTTTAAATGCACCCATAAAGAGACAGAGAGTGTCAGAACGGATTTAAAAAAAGACCTATCAATACACTGTCTACAACAGACACATCTTAAACACAAATACATAAATATATTAAAAATCAAAGGATGGAAAAATATATATCAAGCAAACAGCAACCAAAAAAGAGCAGGAGTGGCAATACTAATCTCAAATAAAATAGACTTTAAGGCAAAATCCACAGTAAAAGGCAAAGAGGGACATTATATAATGATTAAAGGAACAATCTACCAAGATGACATAACCTTAATAAATATCTACACACCAATGAAAGGACTCCAAAATACATAAAACAAACCTTAACGGCACAGAAAAGAGAAAAAGACTGTTCCACAAGAATAGTAGGAGACTTCAAAACACCATTCTTGACCAGGACAGAACATCTAGAAAGAAACTCAACAAAGATACAGAAGATCTAAAGATCTAGAGAAGATCTAAACAAACTTAACTTCATAGATATGTATCAAACATTCCACCCAACAGCAGCAAAGTATACATTCTTTTCTAACACACATGGAATATTCTCCAAAATAGACCACATCTTAGGCCACAAAGCAACCCTCAACAAAACCCAGAACATTGAGAATAATACAAAATATCTTCTCTGATCACAATGCCATAAAAGGAGAAATTAATAATAGAAAGAGCAAGGAAAAAAATAAAAAACATGGAAACTGAATAACACTGCTTAAAAA